TACATTCAGCACCTTCAGATAACTCTTGCAGTACATTCAGCACCTTCGGATAACTCTTGCAGTACATTCAGCACATTCAGATAACTCTTGCAGTACATTCAGCACCTTCGGATAACTCTTGCAGTACATTCAGCACCTTCGGATAACTCTTGCAGTACATTCAGCACCTTCAGATAACTCTTGCAGTACATTCAGCACCTTCGGATAACTCTTGCAGTACATTCAGCACATTCAGATAACTCTTGCAGTACATTCAGCACCTTCGGATAACTCTTGCAGTACATTCAGCACATTCAGATAACTCTTGCAGTACATTCAGCACATTCAGATAACTCTTGCAGTACATTCAGCACATTCAGATAACTCTTGCAGTACATTCAGCACCTTCGGATAACTCTTGCAGTACATTCAGCACATTCAGATAACTCTTGCAGTACATTCAGCACATTCAGATAACTCTTGCAGTACATTCAGCACATTCAGATAACTCTTGCAGTACATTCAGCACCTTCGGATAACTCTTGCAGTACATTCAGCACCTTCAGATAACTCTTGCAGTACATTCAGCACCTTCGGATAACTCTTGCAGTACATTCAGCACATTCAGATAACTCTTGCAGTACATTCAGCACCTTCGGATAACTCTTGCAGTACATTCAGCACCTTCGGATAACTCTTGCAGTACATTCAGCACCTTCAGATAACTCTTGCAGTACATTCAGCACCTTCGGATAACTCTTGCAGTACATTCAGCACATTCAGATAACTCTTGCAGTACATTCAGCACATTCAGATAACTCTTGCAGTACATTCAGCACCTTCGGATAACTCTTGCAGTACATTCAGCACATTCAGATAACTCTTGCAGTACATTCAGCACATTCAGATAACTCTTGCAGTACATTCAGCACATTCAGATAACTCTTGCAGTACATTCAGCACCTTCGGATAACTCTTGCAGTACATTCAGCACATTCAGATAACTCTTGCAGTACATTCAGCACATTCAGATAACTCTTGCAGTACATTCAGCACATTCAGATAACTCTTGCAGTACATTCAGCACCTTCGGATAACTCTTGCAGTACATTCAGCACATTCAGATAACTCTTGCAGTACATTCAGCACATTCAGATAACTCTTGCAGTACATTCAGCACCTTCGGATAACTCTTGCAGTACATTCAGCACATTCAGATAACTCTTGCAGTACATTCAGCACCTTCGGATAACTCTTGCAGTACATTCAGCACCTCCGTACACCAAACTCATGTTGTAGGCCACACCAATGTTAGTTGTCTTAGTAACATTTTGTCATGAGCCATATTGTCGGGGTGTTATCGTAGCCTTTCTGTCGGGGGTCTGTGTTAGTAGCAACTCCTCTTCTTGTTAACCCTCGGAGTTCCCTCTAAGCTGCGGCCGTGCGGTAGTTTTTAAATACCGCGCAGTCATTTTGTAAAATATATGTATACTTATATAAGACTTTTAGAGCACCGCGCACACAAAATGTACATCGCACACGATCTTTTCCCTCTTAGAGGGAACGTTGGTAGAGGGACCTTTTGTTTGTAAAGGGACCTTTTGTTTTTCATGGGACCTTTTGTTTTTCAAGGGACCTTTTGTTTGTCAAGGGACCTTTTGTTTGTCAAGAGACTTTTGTTTGTCAAGGGACCTTATATTAAATCGCCCGTGTAAGACAAACATCAGTAGTGTCGACATTTCTCGGTCCTCAAAAAGTACAGTAGAGCCGGCATTAAATTTTCCGAAGGGTTTCTTCAAAAGCTTTTGGGTCGCTGTCGTTAGTTAGTCACTGTTGGCAAGGGAAATAATAATCATTAAAAAAGTTTTAAAAAACCCACGTTTTCTGATTGAACTAAAAAGTAGAAAATAAATGCTATAGGCCCTACATCACAATAATGCAAGCGATCACTCTACTATAAGCGATGAAAAACGTGGGGCGCCGAAGTAAAAGTTATATTACTATTGATTAGATAATACTATTGACTTTTATTAGGAAGCTTGTAGAGAGTCAACAGTATTAGAAACTGTAAGAAAATCACGGCGCCCCACGTTTTTGCTCGCTTATAGTAGAGTGATCGCTTGCATTATTGTGATGTAGGGCCTATAGCATTTATTTTCTACTTTTTAGTTCAATCAGAAAACGTGGGTTTTTTTAAACTTTTTTAATGATTATTATTTTCTACTTTTTAGTCTTTGTCTGTTTGTTTGCATTAAAATCTTGCTATCGATTTTATCTTTTCACTTTTTTTGGGTAAACGAAGACAACTCGTAAAAAGACAACTCGTAAAAAGACAACTCGTAAAAAGACAACTCGTAAAAAACACGTTGTTTGAATACGTTACTGACTAGAACACATAGATTTGAACCCGTGTCGAGTGGGATAGCAATCGTGTGCCCAACCACTCGACCATATCGTCTCCCCCAAACTGGCCTACCTCCTGTAAGTTTAAACTCGGTTCAAGCTAAATTCTCTGCCCCTAAGCCTGTGGCGACATGTGATCGTTCGCTTCACTGCGCGCGAGGTACGCGTCGCTGGTTTTTTTTCTAATGGCTAGCAGAGGAGAATTATATATATAGATTATATAGCGGTCTAAAATGCTCAATAAAATGTTTCCATTGATCAATTTAGTAATAATAACAATTGAATATTCAATGGTCATCCAAAAGAAAGCTTCCCTGAAAATTTCAGCGCGCTAGCTAACTGGGAAGTGCCAGAAATTTCGATCGCAAGATTTGATTGGAAAGACAAACAAATAAACACACAGAGAAAGCAAGTTAAAGAAAACGTGGGAAATAATAATCATTAAAAAAGTTTAAAAAAACCCACGTTTTCTGATTGAACTAAAAAGTAGAAAATAAATACTATACATCACAATAATGCAAGCGATCACTCTACTATAAGCGATCAAAAACGTGGGGCGCCGAAGTAAAAGTTATATTACTATTGATTAGATAATACTATTGACTTTTATTAGGGAGCTTGTAGAGAGTCAACAGTATTAGAAACTGTAAGAAAATCACGGCGCCCCACGTTTTTGATCGCTTATAGTAGAGTGATCGCTTGCATTATTGTGATGTATAGTATTTATTTTCTACTTTTTAGTTCAATCAGAAAACGTGGGTTTTTTTAAACTTTTTTAATGATTATTATTTTCTACTTTTTAGTCTTTGTCTGTTTGCATTAAAATCTTGCTATCGATTTTATCTTTTCACTTTTTTTTGGGTAAACGAAGACAACTCGTAAAAAGACAACTCGTAAAAAGACAACTCGAAAAAAAATCGTTGTGTGAATACGTTACTGACTAGAACACATAGATTTGAACCCGTGTCGAGTGGGATAGCAATCGTGTGCCCAACCACTCGACCATATCGCCTCCCACAAACTGGCCTACATCCTGTAAGTTTAAACTCGGTTCAAAGTAAATTATTTGCCCCTAAGCCTGTGGCAACGTGGGATTGTTCGCTTCACTGCGCGCGAGGTACGCGTCGCTGGTTTTTTTTTTAATGGCTCGCAGAGGAGAATAATATATATAGATTATATAGCGGTCTAAAATGCTCAATAAAATGTTTCCATTGATCAATTTAGTAATAATAACAATTGCATATTCTATGGTCATCCAAAAGAAAGCTTCCCTGAAAATTTCAGCGCGCTAGCTAACTGGGAAGTGCCAGAAATTTCGATCGCAAGATTTGATTGGAAAGACAAACAAACACAGAAAGACACAGAGAAAGCAAGTTAAAGAAAACGTGGGAAAAACAGAACGCCTCAATTTTTTAAAAGTCGATTTCTTGTAAACCATAACGTCAATATGAACCAGTAAACCCGGATTTTTTAATAGGTCGAATAATTTTGCAAACCGTTTCTCAAATTTACACGACTATAGTTCTGCTTTTAATGACAAACAATTTTTCCTTTGAAAATTTAGCGTAACTACAATTGTTTTTCTAGCTGATTTTTAATTTTAGCCCACCCGTCAAAAAAAAAATTATTTTTAAAAATCAAGTAATAGATGTCACCCACAGGACTGTCAGTCTCTTACAACATTCTATATAACTGACATCATGTGTCAACGTTAGCAACAATTAGTTTTGTATTTCCATTTGTCTTTAAATCATCACACTTGCTACTTTCTGACCTCATTTCTTATCCGTCGTCACATAGGCCACGAAAAGTAAAAGTAACATTCCTCTTTGGACCAGAGGTACTAAGGGCGTTTGTGACGACGGTTGAGAAAGATCCCTAACTCTCCCCTTATCCCTTGGAGCGCGACGTTAATTATGGACGACCCTTTCCTTAATGTAATAGGCTACAGAAAAACTACACTCAATATCAGAGAACATTATGCTTTTCAACCATAAAGTTGAACAGCGTTTGTTAAGTTAAATCGAATCTTCGAAAACAAAAACGTAAATTTTGTCTTAATAAAAATAACAGAGTCTCGTTTAGTTATGTATAGCTAAATATTGTCTAACAAATTACTACCACTTATGCTAAAATTTTGAAATATTAATTTAAATTCGTTATTTTAAAAAATGTTGCTCCAAGGGAGACAACAGAGATTTAGATTTTGTTTTGTTAATGGTTAGGCCTACTACTGTAAAACACATTGATTCTTTTTTGCTTTTCTATTGCAGAAAAAAAAATCGATTTGAGAGATTATACAAAATGTTGTATTATTTTATTATAACTAAAGAAATGTAGATAAATTAATTTTCTAGATTCATAAAGCTTATGATATCTTATTATAATATTTTTAGGTGAAAAGAACCGAAGTTATTTATCGTCGTATTTTATAAAATTGGAATCTGTTCTAAGGAAACGAAACGCAAATTGAAGAAAAACAATGGTAAGTCACTTGTAGAAATGGACTTTTAAATTTATTTTATAAATATTAAAAATGACTTGGTAACTAGATGGCGGCTTTACAGTATTCAAGTCAAATTAGGAACGATTCACACTGTATATTTTTTTAAGTCAATTGCAGTAGGCCTATGGCTTTTCAAAGGAAAAAGGATATTCCACTGCTGAAACTGAATGAAACACTTCGATTCACAACCACCGAAAAGTCCAACACTACTCACACTGAAGTAGAACACTGACTGTATGTTAGAATCTAGTCAACTCTAGTGTTCTGGTTTATAATCTAGATTCTAGCTAGATATAGATTTAGTAGATTTACATTGTTACAAATACTGTAACAGAGCTCATAACATCACCATCTGGCATCTTCTGATCCTAGCAAGTGCCAAGTGGAAGTCAAAGCCAGATGAACTTTTACTTTGTCGATCATTTTTTAGAAGTGAGTAGGCCTATATTTATCAAAATAAAATTATTATTTTTTGTTTTTGGATCTAGATCTAGTAATATATAGAGTTAGATCTATGTTTATTCAGCGAATTTTGCTTTCTAACATTTTTAAATAATATTGACCTAGGCCTATAGGTCCCTTACCTGATACTCAAAATTTGTATTTCTTTTCGAATTGTATTTTCCCAGTTCATTGAGAATAACTCAAAAGCCTATGCCCTGTCAAAAATGCTATTAATATTCAATTTAGAGAATATATCTGTAGGGTGCAAGTTTCAAAGAAAAGAATCATAAGAAATGTACCACACACATTTTTGGCCATTACTTTTTTTAAGTGTATCTTTACGGTTTAATTTTATAAAGACATTATTTAAGCTAAAGATGCAAAGCAGACAACAAAACTAAGTGTATTGTATTTTTTCTTTTTTGCAATGTGATTGTAAGCATTATATACAAAGAAAAATAGGTCATATGCCCTACATTTTTTCTACCAATGCTAAGAGAGAAGAAACTAAAATCTACTAAAAATTGTGACATAAATAATAACAGATTATTGGCTATTAAATAATTATCCAAGTTTATTTCTAAATTTAAATTATTAAATTTTCACCCTATCTTTACTTTTTTTTTTAAATTTAAAAGTGTAATTTGATAGTTAGCTGGGTTGGGTTTTATAAACTAGATATATCATTTTTCAAATGTAATACTTAAAATACAATAAGATCCTAGTTCTTATAATTAAATCAATATAATCATTTTTTTTTAAAATCTTTACAGAAAAATGCCTGCAATCATATGCTCAGGAGCAATTAAAGACAAGGTTCCCACTAATTTAAAATGCCTTGAAATATCTACTCTAAGGCCCAAGACAAACCTTCAAAGCATTTACATTCAGGTAAGTTTGTAAGTCTGGAATTTATTTTTAAAGGCTTTATTAATTAATGGTAGTCAAAAAAAAATTAATTATTCCTGAATTATCATACCTGATCACATTTGTCAGGTAATTGAAAAAAATAGTAAAGTTTACTTGAATTAATTTTTGTAAGACATATTTACTTGTTTTCCTATCACTTAGAGTTTTTTTAAAAATAAAATAACCTTTGTTTGTATCTTCACATGTGAATTCAACTTGAAGGGAGAAGTTGTCAAACGCTATAAGCTGTTTGATAATAAAGCAGATCCACCTCTGCTAAAAATAGACATAAAAGATAGTAAAAGTAAGTTAATTGTTTGTTTTTTTATTCAAAGCCTTGAGAATTTTACTTAGATTGAAAGCTGGACAGACATTAAATTGCTGTCAGAACCCTACTGAGTAAAATGCAATGCTCATTACAATAGTGAACTATTTTGTTTAACATATTGAGTACACTATTGTGATGGATGCTATAGTGAACTATTGTGTAGCTTGTATAAGTATTTTTTTAGCCAAGGTTTTATCTTTGCTCTATTTCTATTTGGATGTCCAGTGTTCTAAATTTTGCTAACAACTCTCACCAATGGCTTCTTTGTTTACTGATGTAAGCACAGACATCAATTAAATCATCTCCTTGTTCATGATATTTTAGTTTTAACAACTGTTTCTTTACATCAGTTTTTCATTTATAGCATATTGTCATTCTTCTTCACATAAAGAATATAGAGCAACTTTAATTATGCTTACTTTTGTTTTAAAAGATCCTGACAGAGTTCACTATTTTTTTGCCTTTGGACAAGTTGCTTCAGACTTGGATGTGTGTTCAGCTGGGGTAAGTTAAGCAACTTTTTTCCTGCCTGGGTTTAAAAGCTAGTATCTGTCAATATAGTAAACCTAACCTTTAAGTTTGTTTGAAATAAATTTTAGAAGTTTCTACCTTACAGGACACACTGGTTTTTATGAAATTCGAGATTGAAAAATGTCCAGGGCATTATGATAAGGACTACCAAATTATTGCAGATGACAGAGGAAAATTGGAGTCTTTAGTATGGGTTAGGAACACTTTTATTTTAAAACAGTTTTATAATTGTCGTAATACTTTTATTGCCATTGCTGATCAAATAGTTTAATTTGAAGCATTTATTTTTGTTCTTATTATGCAATAATTCTAATCCAAAATTCTCAAGCAATACATTTTTCAAGTAATTACATTTCTATTCTCTATTAATCTTATTATTTTAAAGCTCCTTTTTATGTTTTTTTTCTATCAAACAATGATTTCATTGCCATTTTATTTTTTTAGATATTTAAACAGGAAAAACAAGACACAAACACAGCAAGTGTTGCCACTAGACAGCTGACAAAACCAGTGAGTGTTTTAATTTATAGCTTCAGTGTTTGGCTAATGTTTTAAGTAGGCTTGTATGCAGGGATGTGACTTTTCCGAATTTTAGCGGAAATCCGATTTTTCCGTTTCAGTTGCGATTTTCCTCCGCTGATTTAATTTTCGCTGAATTTTTCCGCCGAGTTTCAATTTTTGTCGATTTTTTACGAAGTTTTAAAAATTAGGAAAAAAAAAACGGAAATGTCTTCTACGGAAAGGGCCGACATGCTCATTCAAATTATTCGTATTTAAATTTAAATCGACAACTACTGTACTTATGTTAAACGGACACTCGAATATTCACATTTCTTTTCGATTGGTCGATTGCGCTAGGTCTGACGGTGCTAGATCAAGTTAAATGTAGATTAAGATTCGGAATTTCGGCGGACTTTCGAATTTTTCAAAGCACACTTTTTTTAGTCCAAATTTTCCGCTGATATTTTCAGTTAACTATTTATCAAAAACACGGGAAAAGGTAATCTAAAATAATGCAGTTATTCAAATGAAACTTACATCTCTTAAGCCTGGTAATCTAGCTATCGATAAAGCCTAATTTACCTATCGGCATTTTAACCCGCCTAAATCTAGAGTTTCTCTCTGATTCTATTTTATTTCGCAATTTCAAATTAATATTGAAATCCTTGCAAAAGGTGACTATGAGGACTAGACTAACCTGCCCCACCTCGTAGCAACGGTGGCTCTTGTGACCTCACCTTGACCCCAAGTACGTGTTCGGTACTGCTTGTGGAAAAAAAAATGACGTCACAGTCAATTTCAAATAGCTGTTCCTGCAATACGTATGCTTCGTAGGCCTACAGATTTAAAAAAAATACTTAACTCAACGTGACTACTACCGTGTCTTGTTTGTGGAAGAAAAAATACGTTCAGACTGGTGGGAGGAGGGGGGGGGGGGGGGGAGTCTGGCTTTTGTAGGAGAGAGGGGAGGTAAATATGGTAAAAAAAACGTGGATGACCCCTAACAATTTACAGCTATTCCAAAAAACAAATATCGATGTGGCTTGGTTATCATAATTATTAACTTTGGTTCACACGTCAGACCCTTTCTAATTTTAGCTAACCTGGTCCATTTCATGTTTCCATCACATGAACCTAAAACGTTCATATTATAACTAATCTTAATCTAGGGTCTTTACAGTTGAAGACAAGTATTTTTACCAATCGGTCAATCCAATCTTTAAAAGAATATAAGGCATTAGGCCCCCTATTTAAAAATTGAAAACAGGAGTACATCTAGAATCTACACTAGATTAGTACAGTTTAAATTAGCTTAATGGTAAAATAAAATTTGCTACTTTAGTTACATTGTAATTTTTAAAAAGTTGTTTATAAGGTAACATTAAATTGCAATTAGACAAGACTTTCAATGTTATTTTAGAGTAACATAAACTTCTTGTATTTAAAATATTAACTTCATCAAAACAATTAATTTCTACAGTAACAGTATGAAGCTGCTTAACTGCGGTATGAAGCTGCTTAACCGCGATAAAAATTAGATAAAACATATTGAGTTATTATCCGAAGAAAATTTCCTAATTTTTTTTCCTGGTCTGGTCACATCCCTGTGTATGTCTCTATACTGAAATAATTATTTTTAGAAGAACAATAAACATGAATATGGGAACAAATAAGAAGTTGGCTAGTTTAGGTTTTGATGAATACTACTTGTGTTTGGCTTGTTTTAGTGATTGTAAATCACTGGACCATGTGCATCATGATTAAATTTTGATGGATGTGATTAGTTTTGGTTACCAAACTTCACTTTATTTCAACAGAAGAAAATGCTGTAATGTATGTATGTTTCCCACCCAGATGTATCTCTAAAATGTATATGTTTGTTCCCAGCTCAGTCCAAAGTTAAAGTACAACTACAAGCCCCTGTCCAGCCTGGAGGTCAACACCATTGTTGATGTGTATGGTGTTGTTAAGTTCTTCAAACCTCCCGTCCCAACAAAAGGAAGAGGTAGATTTACTTACATTTGACTTGCTTAACATAACAGAAACTGGTAGATTTACTGATATTTGACTAGTTGAGCACAATCACACACAATTACTGCACATTACATAATATTCTACAAAGAAGGTTGTAGGTCAATATAAAACTGTTTTTTTTTATAAAAAAAAAAACCTCCACAGACTACATGTACATACTAAGTCTAACAGATGAGAGCCTGGAGAACCCTGATGACAAAATTAAGTGCAACATCTTCTGTAAGGATCCTGAGAATGTACCAAAGTATGAAGTTGGTGACATTGTTAGATTTCACAGGCTGAAGGTGGGTTGTATTCAAATCTTAAAGCTAACATTTACACTATGGATTTTATTTCAGCCTTCTAATTTATGAGTTCATGGAGTTTTCAATAGCTGGATAGTTTAAAAAAAGTTTAAAAACTTCCATTTGCTTACTGAGCTAAGGGACATAACTTATTTTACACTATTTTAAATACAGGAGGCAGATTTCGATAACACTGCCTTCTTTCGCTCTCTCAACCCACCAACTGAATTTTATGTAACATCTACACTGGTCAAGTTTATGGATTTCTTTCTAGCTTTGTATTAAAAATGTAGGTCCAATGAGAAAATTATTTTTTATAAAGATAGGTGAAACAAGAAGCAAGTTCCTGTCAAAAATAGACTAAATAAAGGCTTGTTAAAATGGAATTTTTTCAAACAAAAACTATTTTCTCTGTTTCATAAAGATAACTGAATTGAATTTTATCTATGTTCTTAGCCAGTGCCCCGTATTTCTAACAAACAGAAAATGTCCTCTATAATTTATCTTGACCAGTGTAAAAAACAGTTTAACAATATTGTCAGGTCCAGAGCTACCAGGGGAGCAAACAGGGCTACAATGGCCCAGCCTTCCAGTGGCTGATGTTCCATGAGTCTTTAGACAACTGTCAATCATCCTGTCCTACCTACACCTTTGAGCAGCAGGACAGAGACAGGGTAAGTTTATCCGTGGTCTGTATCCAGTTTGTGGATCCTTCTCACAGGATAAAAATGTAAAAAGCTAGTATTTAGTTTTTTGCACTATTTTTTGTACGGAAATAACCAGAATATAATGTAAAAGATAGTTTAACACTGTGTCTTGTATATAAATAATTTAATTAATGTCTTTTTTCTATGTTGTACGTTAGATAAAACAAGAAGAGCGTTTGATTACTGGCCTAAAAGTATTGTGATTGGATAATGGGTTAATATCATTAAAACATCCCTGAGTTCAGTCAGCTCTAAAGAATACCTGCCTTGGTTTATGAAAGATAGCCAGGCATAGTGCTGACCACACTATTTCTTCATATGCTGAGATGAGGGAAGAAGATAAGCTCTACTCCGTCTGCCCCACCTACATTCTAGTTAGAAAGAAAAAAAAAATTCTGGAGTAGGTCTACATGACCTTCACTTTCATCAAATATTCTGTTATTTATGTTAATGACAGTTTACCTCAATTGTATGCTGTATTGTTTTTTTTTTTAATTAATATCTGCATGTTGATAGGTCCAAGCTCTCTTGGAATGGTGGTCACAGTCTGGGAAGTGTATTGATAATGAAACCAAAACATTGAGCCAGGTGCAAATAAAATCTTATTTTAATCTGGTCTGCCAGGTAAGAATTTAAAAAGAATATTTTTTTTTATGTGCTGTTGCCACTACATTTATTTATAGAAATAAATCTAAAATAGCGTGATTAATTTAGTTAATTAATTTCAGGTAATTAGAGTGTGTGATGTTCCATCTGAGACCTGTAAGCTGCTTACTGTCTGGGACGGTACAAAATTTGAAGGGTAAGTCACTCCTTAATTAACGAAATGTTGCTTGTATGTATTCAATACTATTGTTTTGCTACCCGAACACTGACCTTGGATGAAGAAAAAACCTTTTCTACTGGTAATGTATTAAGGAATCAGTAAAAAGATTTAGTTAGCAACTTGCATAGTAGTAAAAAGTTATTTGATGGAATGATATATATATTTTGTTTAATGTCAAATTAATAATGAATTGTTTCCCTTGAGCAGACCTTTGAAGAAAGCCGAGGAGGAAAAGTTTGATGAAACAGTTTTGGAAGATGAAAACCTTATGACTGCATCCAAAGGCTATGCCGTTGATGTTTTCCTCTACGATAATCATGCTGATTCCAGTGTTGTTATTCGTGTAAGTTTCTCTCTTGTCTCTATTATTTCTGTAGGTTTAATCATATTTCTTAGGTATAAAATGTTACCATTATTCTAAATCTGTTGAAAAATCTTCAATAATAATTCTTAAAAATCAACATTTTTATTCTATGTATGAATGATATTTGTTTCTTGCTTTGTTTTTCTTTCCTGCCTTTCTTTTTCTCTCATTCTTCAGAATTTTTTTTTCCAGTTTTCTGAATGTTGTTTTTTTCTTGCTTGTTTTCCTGTTAGTTTTTTTTTTAGCTTTTTCTCCCCTCCATCTTTATGATTTTTTTCTAGTTTTGTTTTCCTGTGATCAATGTTTTTTTTTTCTAGTATTTTGCCTCTCCATCTTTAAGATTGCTAGTGTCCAGCTGTTTGTTTCTTCACCATCATAAATTTTACTCCCTTTATTTTCCTCTCCCCCTCCCTCAGCCAGGCAACTACATCCTGCTGGTCAACCTCCACGCTGCCGTGGTCTCTGGTCTGGTGGAGCTCACACTGCACACAGGCACCTCATTTGGGCGCAGGTTGGAGGTGCTCTATGACGGCTCACCTCACGCTCTCAAGTTGAAGGCCGTGCTTGACCCGTTAGTAGACAAGGGGAATAACTTAAAGGACGTTTCAGCTGACAAAGAATGTAGTTCTAAAGACAGTTTAATAAACAAAGGGCATAATTCTAAAGATAATTTAGACAAGGGACATCATTCCAAAGATGATTCGAGAGACAAGGGAGGTAATTCAAAAGATGATAAGGGACAAAACTCAAAGGATGATTTAGTCGACCAGGCACATAATACAAAGAATGATTTAGTAGACAAGGGAAGTAATTCAAATGATTCAGCAGATAAAGCACATATTTCAAACAATGATTCAGTAAAAAATGGGTGTCACTTAATGGATATTGCACCTAAGGGATGTAATTCAAAGGATTCAGTGGACAAGGGACATAATTCAAATGGCAATTCATCACACGTGCAGTCTCAGAAAGGCATCCCCATGAAAACACAACATCGAAAAAGAGAGAGAGAAAAGCAGAAAGATGATGAAATTCCTAGTAAAATGCCAGTAACAGATATCAACACTGATGCCGCTGAAATCTTGAACAACACAAACAACAACCAACAAAACATTGAGGAGATTGATGCCGAGGCAATCATAGTAGTGGAATCCAGCGATGACTCTCTAAGTCAGTCCATTCTACATCCCACAACATCAAAATATGAAGCACAAAGTCCGTCTGTTCTACTACCTGCCACACCAAAAGCTGATGCGGACACATCGTCCAAGGATAGTGATTGTGTTGTAGTGGAAGATGGGGGTGAGATGGGGAAAGAATGTGTTGCACTTGGAGCTTCTGCTGAAGCAGATAGTAGAGTCATAGCAGCAGATAGAGTCATACCAGCAGATAGTAGAGTCATACCAGCAGATAATAGAGTCATATCAGGAGGTAGTAGAGTCATACCAGCAGATAGTAGAGCCATACCAGCAGATAGTAGAGTCATACCAGCAGACAGTAGAGTCATAACAGCAGATAACTCAAACAGACAGAACAAGGACATTACACCAGGCCAGGCTGCTGAAAGTGTCCTGACAGATGGAAGGAACCAAGAAGTAGCTACACATGATGTAGCAGGTAGCAACTTAGTTCTGCAGACGTCCCTACCCCAGCATGAGGAGGATGAGGATTCCTCCATTCTGCTCAGTTCCGCGTCGGTCTGTCTGTCTGCTGAAGAAGATTCTGGGAATGTGGTTCCAGCTGAACGGTTGGTCGAGGCTAACGGAAATCATGACATTCCACATGTGGTTGGTGCTAACGGCAGTCAAGACATCACATACCCACATGTGGTTGGTGCTAATGGTAATCAAAACACCACATACCCACATGTGGTTGGTGCTAATGTTAATCAAAACACCACATACCAACATGTGGTTGGTGCTAATGGTAATCAAAACACCACATACCCACATGTGGTTGGTGCTAATGTTAATCAAAACACCACATACCCACATGTGGTTGGTGCTAATGGTAATCAAAACACCACATACCCACATGTGGTTGTTGCTAAATGTAATCAAGACATCGCTTACGCACAAGTGGCTGATGCAAATGGCAATGAAAACACCACAAACCCACATGTGGTTTGTGTTAATGGCAATGAATCCAACATTCCAAGTATAGTTGGGAACAAACAGGACAATACATGCTTAAGTTTTTCTAATGACTTTCCCCTCCATGAGGACCTAGCTCACCAGAGCTCTGAGGTTGATGACTCAGAGAGCTACACCACCGCCCCTAGTCCAGGCCATAGCCAGTCCACTCAGGAGAGTGCCCTGGACTTTGGTCAGACCTACACAGTAGAAGAAGCGTGTTCGTACCTTCAGCAGGAGGCTCAAAGACAGGCAGGGCTTTATCTGGTCGAGTCTGGGTCATACTTGACCCACGACCCTCAAAGTGAGGCTGGGTCATACTTGACCCATGACCCTCAAAGTGAGGCCGGGTTGTACCTTTGCCATGAACAAAGTGAGACTGGGTCATACCTTGGACATGAATCTCACAGCGAGACTGGATTATATCTCAGCCATGATTCACAAGGTGGAACAGGATCATTCCTTGTCCATAGTTCTCAAAGTGATACCGAGTCATACCTGGGCCACGACTCTCAAAGCCAGACCAGGTCATATCTGGGCCACGACCCTCAAACTGAGGCTGGACTATACCTGACCCATGAGTCTCAAAGAGAGGCTGGGTCTTACTATGGCCACGCAGCCCAAGGTGAGGCAGCGTCCCAGAACCTGTACTCACCACATGATATCCACATGCTCAACTCGTTCCAGCTCAACTTTGACTCTGCCAGTTTTTCTCAGGGTGCTCACCATGAGTACCAGACCATGGCACCAGATCACTTCACCCCTGGCACTGTGGTACAAGGCAGCTCTGAAAGTGATCACGAGAACGCTGCAAGGTGTATGCTCAAAACTGCTTCAAGTAAGTGGACACCTTACTCAGAGAATTCATCACTTTCTTTTGTTGGTAAAACACTAACATTACTATTGTAAATTGTAAATTGCTTAGTAAATTTAGTAAATTGCTTTCTTTAGTCTTTAATATACTGCTATACAAATCCATATGGTACAATATAAACCCTATAACTTCAAGTAAGTGAACACTTTACTCTGAGAATTCATCACTTTCTTTTACTTGTAAGGCACTAAAGTAACAGTTTATTTAGTGAATTACTTTCTGTAACATTCTGCTATATTTTATGTATGCTACAATATCAACCCTAGAAATGTCTAGTGCAGCTATTGTTCCGTGGATTCAAGTCATTAAACATTTTCATATTCAGAGAAATTAGAGACCCTTACAAGTATACATTTCCTGAAAGTATATTGTACAAAGTATCTAATGATAGGCAAATAACAATGTTGGCACTGACCTTGACATTTACAGGAGAGAAGATAGTGCACTGGAGTGCAAGTCAACAATGATATTTTCTTTTTCACAGTTTTGCATTACCTATTGTCTAAATTTATTAACGAATGCTGTAATGAAGTAGAATCATATTTCTCAACACTATGACATTAAATAATCAACCGTTTCTCAATGACCATGCCTATATTTACTGTGACCATATTGCAGTTATTAGGGACCACCCCCACGTACCCATCTCTACCCTGCAACAAGTCCTGAGCGCAGGGGAGATGAGCAAGTTTAGGGTCCAAGCCAGAGTGGCTGACTACAGCCCCAAGCCAACCTGTGCCACAGACATTGTTCATCTCTTGTGTTTTGCCTGCTTTCAGGCGTAAGTCTGGCAGTTTCTTTTCTAGAACCTTCTCAATCTATATATTATTAAATATGTGATAGTGATATTGTAGAGAAACAGCCTCTTAATCTGTAAGTAGTTTTAAATGTGTGATATATATGGAGAGAAACAGCCTCTCAATCTATATTTTTCAAAATGTGTGATATTTGTATAGAGAAATTGCTTCCCAATTTATAATTAGTTTTAAATCTAAAAATAGTTTTTAATGTGTGATATCTATAGAGAAACTCCCTCCCAATCTATTAAAATGTGTGATATCTGTAGAGAAACCACCTCCCAATCTATTAAAATGTGATATCTGTAGAGAAACCACCTCCCAATATATATACAAATGTGTGATATCCGTAGAGAAACCACCTCCCAATATATTTAAAATGTGTGATATCTGTAGAGAAACCACCTCCCAATCTATTAAAATATGTGATATCTGTAGAGAAAGCGCCTCCCAATCTATTAAAATATGTGATATCTGTAGAGAAAGCGCCTCCCAATCTATTAAAATATGTGATATCTGTAGAGAAAGCGCCTCCCAATCTATTAAAATATTTGATATCTGTAGAGAAAGCGCCTCCCAATCTATTAAAATATGTGATATCTGTAGAGAAAGTGCCTCCCAATCTATTAAAATATGTGATATCTGTAGAGAAAGTGCCTCCCAATCGTTGACCTGGAGCCAGACCAACCAGCTGTACTGCAGTGAATGTAGTTCAGTGCCCAGACCCCTTAAGCCAACCATCATCATCAAGTTTATCCTGACAGATGGACACAACTCTATAGAGGCCAGCCTATGGGACAAAAATGCTGTAAGTTGGCTTGGATGTAACACAATTTTAAAGAAGTTTAATTTAAAATATTATGGGAATATCACATTTTAGCCTTAAAGGGAGTTTTTTTTAGCAAGTTTACGTTATGAAATGGCATATTTATTTTGCTATTTGCTTTCAGTGAGCACAGCTATTAAAACATCCATACTCTATTCTCGTTTGCTATTTATCTTATTTCCTCACAACTCTTTCCACTGATAATGTCTTTTTCGATGTCTCTAGTTAGGTCCCCCTCTGGATTCTATGACAACCCTTGTTGTAAGTTTCCTGAATGGATGGGCTATCCATCTGCACCTTCTTTTAGATACTTTTTTTCTCCACAGGTTCAGTTTTTTAAGGGCATATGCCCTCAAGATATATTGTCCGATGCCCAGAGTTTCCACTCCATACAGAGGTCCCTCATAGACCTGTGTCCCCCAGGCTCTAGACTAGAGGAGCGCCCCCTGCTGGAGTGCTGTGTCTTGGCCTACCAGTCCCAAGGCTCCATGGTTTACCAGATTTTTGACACAGTTTTAGTCTAACCAGTCTCATTTTTTTTTTTACTTTATCGCCTGTTGATTTTTAAACGTTGGTTTAATTAACTCAGTTTTGAGAAATTAAATTTTCATTCCAAAGAATTGAATTTTTATATTTTCAAGAATTGATTCTGTTATTGTAAATTTTTTGGCCACATTCTACCTGTTTTATTTTTTAAATAATTTTTTTGTTTGAACTTTGAGCATTTATTGTACAGAAAAAGACACATAATATTTTAATTCTTTAATAATTTACAGGAGTTTTCAAACAATTTACAAAATGAACTACAAAAATAATACAAAACTAAGCAATTTTGTTGAATATAATTTTTGTGATAAAAACAATCATGTATAAAATTTGTATAAAAATATTTATGTACAAAAATGTCTCCTTTTCTTTTTTAAAGGTAGCTTTAAAATTGCTAGCTTACAACCCTTAAAGTGTGATCAGTCTATACCAGTAAAAGCTACTACCACTGATGTGGACTCATATATTATTATATGAGGGGAGTCAGGTGTGTTATAAGAGGGTTAATTATCTCTCTATGGAGCAGTCTAAATATTAAAGTCCATTAGGGAATATTTGGTATCTGGCTTTGGCATGATCTTAACAAAATTTTACTTAAGAGAAATGTAACATTCTGCTGTAGATAATCTTGAAAATTCAGTTTATAAACTGAAAACTTATGTAACATTCAATTCTTAAAAACCTCATTTGGAATTATAGCACTCAATAGTGTTTAAGTCTGCCTGACTTCAATACATTGACTACTTGCTAGTTGTAAATACATTCATGGGCCTTGCATCAAATGTAGCATTCATTAACAAACATAATTCAAATAGTACAACATCAATCACAAAGCTTGACCAGAAGGCTACATCAGACTCCTACATCAGCACAACACCTTACTAGACTTACACTTACATTGTTTAAGTGTCATGGACAAATAACAATATATATGGCATAGTTCATACAATAAAACCTTATATTTGTAACCAACATGAACACAATGTTATACAGTTTAACAACAGACTAACTATGCACCTCAGCAATGGAGTGCCTACCTATTATTCCATCCATTGGCTCTTCTACTTGTTTAAGGCCCCTGTTTAGCAACAGTGTTTCTTCCAGACTTTTTTCTCCGGGGGGGGGGGGCACTTGAAATTTTCGGGGGGGGGGGGGGGGGGCGGACACTGTTAAAAGTATATATTTTCTATATATAAATAAATAAATTTCGTTCGGGGGGGGGGGGGGGGGCGGTAAAAAATTTTCGGGGGGGGGGGGGGCTTCGCCGAAGAGATGCCTGGAAGAAACTCTGGTTAGCAAAGGGCCTCAGCCATATCTCTCCACAGGCTTAGTTGTGAGCAGCTTGATTTATTTGCGCCCACTTAAGCCCAGCAGCCCTTGCCTTTTCTTCCATTCTCTAGGATTTCCTTGGCCGGCCTACTCTACTCCCCTGAGGATTCCAGTCTAACATGATACTATACTCTTCCCAGTGTGTGGCCAATCCATCCCCATATATGGGCTTTAATATCCCTGTCTATTGGCTATGGTTTGGTATTTTGCCACAGGTCTATATTTGACTATTTTATCTAGCCATCTTATCTCAAGGATCTCTCGTAAACTGTGAACGACCCACCCATTTGTGCCAGCTAAATATCCCCACCCACACTACTGAGGCTTGACGCGTTTTTATCAATAAAACATAGGCACGATGCAAAATGGGGAGGGAAATCCCCTAAAAGTATCACATAGTCAATACTTGAATGGTAAAGAGGCAGCAAAAATCACAGATCATTTGTTTGTTAGAAGGAAGAGCATTGACGTCCATTGTGTTTAGTTTAACATCGTTGAATGCGTCTCTCTAGTTAGTCTTTGGGTGTCTCGAGAGAGAGTTGGCTACAGGGAGATGGATTTCTTTACAAAGATGGATTCCTCAACAAAGATGGATCCTCCACAAAGATGGATTCCTCAACAAAGATGGATGCCTCCACAGGAACGAACATATCAACAGAGATGTCTTCACAATAGCCGTAGCACCAATCAGAACGTACTGACCACGTGTCTGACAACTAAAAATAAATTATATCTTTGATATTGACTAGAGAGTAAAAAGTTTGCCTTCGTAATTTATCTGCTTTTTTTAGCATCGGCCTTGACGAACTTGGAACGCGCACTGTGGATGTTGGAGATGGTTGTCTCGTCCATGACGTCTCCCCGCCCGCCATCGCTGAAGCGCCCAAGCGTGCTATAAGTAGCAACGGGAATACCCGAACTGCTCTTTTTTCTTGGCTGTGATTTGGTCGTTGACGTTTTGGGTTGGGATTTAGAGCTATCCATCGTTTGCTGGGGTTTTTCGGATCTTTTTGCTTCTGACTGAGGTTGTGTTTCGTTTTTGTCGTTGTCGGCTTTGGGAGTTGATTTGTTGAGTTTAAGTGGCTCGCTAGTTTTAGGTTTTAGACTGTCAGGCAATGGAGGTGCCGGAGGGGGAGGGGGTGGAGGAGGGGGAGGTGCCGTTGGTGAACTTTGACCTTTTTGTTGGTCTGTTATTTGCGCGCTGATTTCTGGAGTGGAGTTTAATTCGTTGGCGGGCGAGTCATGATTAATCTTTGTTTGAATTTTTGGTGAAACGGATTGCACGTTGGAAGAAAGATTCGTTGCTTGTGCGATAATATTATTTATACGCGGCTGTGCCTTAGGAGATTTAGACTTTTGGTCATCGATGGCGCCACATGTCTGGGCGTCAGCTCCTTGACTCACGGTGGAAGTGACGTTTGTCGTAGACTTGGATTCCTTTGATTTCTCCGACAGAGAAGAGCTAGAGACACTAGGCCTGAAAACTTCAGGACTGGCAAATGGAAGAGCTTGTTTTATAAGAATGTCTTGAAGCTTCCTGATCTTATCCGTGCAGTTGGCGTTGACCAGGAAACTATCAGCAGACTTGGAGCGTCCAGACTTCTGCAACCCCGACACTGGCACCGACACGGCATCCGTCTCGTGATCCTCGGCCTCGTCCTCCCGGACTTGAAACAAATCGGAGGGGATTTTCTGGAACCGCGGCGTGTCGCTCGACCACGTCCTGTGTCCACTACCGGTCTTTGAGCCGGTGTTTCTTAGCGTGAATGTGCCGCCGTCTGAAATGCTTGAGTTCATGATGTCTGCCAGAGACCTGGACTTGTTTTTATTCTGCAGGCCGTTGGTTGGCACTTCATCGGCAAAGACAACGCTTTTCTGACTTCCAAACCTTGGAGAGCGGTTCCCTTTCTCTGAGTGAACCGACATCTCGGAATCTGTTTTGCTCGTGTCATCTTCATCCGACTCGTAGATCGGACTTTTAACAATTTCCGAGCCTCTTTTGATCTCCAACGCCGTGTCGTGATTCGCCATCATCTCCTGATGTTCCCGGAACTGTTCCGTCACGGAACTTGCTCTTTCGTGCCCCTCTTTCCCAAAAATGATGTAGATTGTGTTTTGTTTCTCTCTCTTCACATTGACCACGTTACTCTGCTGTGTGTTGTCGTCGTTGAGTCGATCAACGCTGCTGACGTATCGCACGTCTTCCTCGTCGGATATCTGCTCCAGGCTGTTGACTGAACTTGTTCCGTAGCACCTCGCTCTTTTCGCGTCTGGTCTGCGTCTGCGGCCTCGTTCTCGCGACGGGTTGCTGCTGAGACTGGAATCGCTGACACGTCGGTAGTGGCTCTGCTCCCCGGGGTCACGTGATCTCTGAGATCGTCTGCTCTGACTGACGCTGCCCAGGCTGCGCTTGTCGCCGTTCTCTGAGCTGTAGGAGGAGTAGGCGTCGTAGTCCCTCATGGCAGAGTCGGCAGACGAGCTGTTGCGTCTGCTCTTCGAGTTGCCCATACTCTCGTCAGAGCTGGAGAATTTGAACTTCCTCCTGCGGCTGGAGGTGAATGCTGATCTCTTGGGAAACTCTAAATCGTAGGCGTCCTCGCCTTCGGAAATTCCCGACTCGCTGGAGCTGTAGTCTTGGGTCGGGGTCGGGGGTCTGGGCTCGTCTTGACGTTTCTTCTTGAGGGGGTAGATTAAGTCACGTGACAGGGGTTCGGCGCTGTCGTAGTGCCGCGATGACAGCTGGTCGTTCCAGGAGCGTGAGAACTGGCCCAGCTGCGGCCGGTCGATCAGCTGGTTTTCAAACGGCGACTCGAAACGGTGGCTGATGTCCGGACTGCCGAACTTGTACCGCATCGAGAGGGTGGCGCCCTTCCTCAGGGGGGTGATGACGTCAGTGGTCCTCTTGTAGCGCGGCAGCGATCTGACGGCTCTAACACTAGGCCGCGGCAAAGGATACTGGGGTTTGAACCGTGACGTCATGCTCTGGAAAGACCCGTAGCGCTGTGACGTAACGAAAAACGGTTTGACCAGGTTATTAGCGAAGTAGTGGTAGGTCGAGTCGTCGTCTTTTCCTTCTGGAACTTTCCTCTCTCTCATTTCCTCGTCGCTCATGTTCGATGTATCGTAGTCGCCCTCGTTGTATTCATCATCGTCATCGTTCCCCTCGTCTTCGTCGCTCTCCCTGAGGTCTCCGAGAATTCGACTTTTTGCTTCGCTTCCGGTGACGTCACGCAGACTGTTGTCGGCGTGGCTGCCCTCCTCCATCTCGTCCTCCTCGGGGATGTGACCCAGGGGCGTCTTCAGGCTCTTGGTGAAGCCGCGGCTCTGGGGGGAGCTCAGGTGGATGGGGCCGGTGTCATTGGCCGCGCTGAAACAAGGTTAGAGAGAGATTAGTGAAGGGTGGGGGAAGTTCGTGTGGTGAGGGGTGGGGGGAGTTGGTGTGGTGAGGGGTGGGGGAAGTTGGTGTGGTTAGGGGTGGGGGAAGTTGGTGTGGTGAGTGGTGGGGAAGTTGGTGTGGTTAGGGGTGGGGGAAGTTGGTGTGGTTAGGGGTGGGGGAAGTTGGTGTGGTTTAAAAAATGTTCATGAAATGTTAAACACAGCGACTATTATAGTTAACATGGCTTAAAAGATGTATAAAGTGTTAAAGATGTCGTAATTAACCCTCCATAATGTACCCACTACGTGTGTGTATTGCAATACAAGTATACAGCTCCCGGACAGTGTTTCTTACAGACTTTTTACTGCGGGGGGGGGGGGGGGTCGACATTTTTCGGGGGTGTTCCGCCCTTCCGAAGAGATGCCTGGAAGAAACTCTGCTTCCGAACACGTTTGTTTGTCCATAAGGACTAGTTGAAGCAGGGAATGCTGACTCGACACCTCCGTTACAAGATAGAGCTCAACCTACCAGTTTCCTACAGCACTTGCTCAAGGAATGGCCAAGTCAAAGATGTAATAATAATTGCTTAAATATCTCAATTAATTTCTTCATTCAGAAACAGACTTATTT